TATATGTGCGGATAAAATCACGGAAATGTGTCCGTGTATTATCCCTGTTATAAAACAAAGACAACAATGTGTTGGGAGGTTTTTTACGTAATGGAATATCAACTTTCCCCCGATGACAACAGATCGTGAAAACTGGAGTTGAGGTGCCGAATCTTTTATTGACTCGTTCACCGAACCACATACAAGCTCCGCAGTACTCACATACATACGAACAATCACCATCATCATAATATCCTAATAACAAAGTTTAAAATGCATTAATAACATAATTTAGGCAATAACGTTGGCTATATTTGGAAATACCAACTACCACCTTAACAATAGTTATGGATTCGCATATTAACAGATACATTCCTCAACCAAGTTATACCAATATATAATTATTCTACTTTATCCGATATCAAAAATGCTACTACCATTTTCCAAAAATGTATAGACCATAAAATTATTATGAGAGACCAATTTAACCAACCATTCTTATCAAAGCCTATGACAGTAAATCCAGATGAATCCGAAGTATTATGGTGTGGTATACGTGAACGCCTTTTGTTTTTTTTGCTACCACGATAACCACGATTAACTTTCGGATCAAACTCATCATCGGATTCGGAATCCGTAGCAACGAAACACACGAAATCATCTATCTCAGGAGATCCACCTAAAATGCCTATATATACAAACACACACAACGTGATTATACATTTAATAAACTTTAAAATAAAAAAATCAAAATTTTGTAAAACAAGTCATACAACACATCCTATTACCCACCATCAATCTTATGAGCTCGCTTATCTTTCAATATCCTCATTCTATTCCGTCTTGCTAACCTGAAGGCGTTCTTTCTGAGGAGACGATCAAAGTCAGGGAGAAGATTATGGCAAGCAACAATTCTTTCCAAATTAGGTGCATAATCTTGTAGTCTCGTGGTGAAACCTAATAAACATACGTATTATTAATAAACATACTAAATGGATGAATAACACGAAACGAATTACAAAATTAAATCAGAAATTAACGTCTATTAGATGGAGGTATCTTCTTTGGTATATATCTCTTCGTAGACATCTTTGGAGCCATCTACAGCCACGAGTACGGAAAGAAACAATAACAATAAGATCAGTCGAATAAATGAAACAACACAGCCAATTTGTATATTTTAAAAAGATACGAACAACCAATTGAAGATGGCAACCGTAGAAGAGAACAGAATACATGGCTACAATACATGGGTACACATAGTTATACGAATCAGCTAAAATACCTAATAGTTATCACAAAGAAAATTTACATTTACAGAAATTATACATTTTTATGATTAAATCGTTTTTGGTAACATCGCAACAGAATAAAAAACTGATGGTTATCGCAAGGAAAATTTATATATACAGAAACTATACATTTTTCCATATAAGTGATTTATTGATAACATCTTACTGGAATTTGCTATTTTGTCTAAAGGATTATTTATTCAAATCTATTATATATACATACACATATCAAAATGTTATACCCACGTGATCAATATACTAAAACGGTAGATTCATACGATTATTCATCTGTATGAAAGATAAACACCAATTATAAGCAAATATAAAATCAATTATAAGTAATAGTTAATTTATATGATACAAAACTATAGTTATCTATAACAATGATAATTATGACCTTATTGTTTACCGAACTCAGGAGGGTACTTTGGCATATTTATTTGCGATAATCCTTGAGTTTATGATAATTAAATTTCCTTCGATTTGTGTTGTTTTACCAAATTATCCTGGATATGTGAACGTCGATTGAGTGGCTCGATGACTTTTGTTACATTGTCTATGTCCTAAGATCTCTAAAATTATTCTTTATGTCATAAGCTACGTGTTCTACTATACGGCGGATTTATTTACTTGGTACGATTTTATTAAGTTTTTGTTATTTATAAGTTTGGTTTTACCCATTGGCTATTTTGTTGGCAATCGGTCATAAAATGTAGAGAAACGAAGACAGAGCAACTCTGTTTCGAG